AGGAGAAGGGCAGGGGTAAGGCCGGGCCCGGGCTCCCCCATGGCGGAGCAGGAGAAGGGCAGGGGTAAGGCCGGGCCCGGGCTCCCCCATGGCGGGTGTGCGGACAGACCGCGGGCCGGGCGCCACCGAGTGAGGCCCGCCCGCCTCAGGGCTCGGGCGAGGGAGGGGCGGCGGCGCGGGGAGCTCTGGCCGGAGCTGGTGCTGGGGGACGCTCACCGCGGGACACAGACACGGATATACATACTGAAGTGCACACGCACACACACACGCACGCACACGCACACACACGGGTTTGTGCGTGTGTGTGTTTGTATTTCGGCCTTCGACATCTTCACGAGGGGAAGAGGAGGGGCAGACACCGAGACCTTTCCTCTGGCGTCCAGTGGCAGGAGCCGAGGGAATGGCCTGAGGTTGTGCCAAGGTAGGTTTAGGTTGTGTATCACGAGGAGGTTTAGGTTGTGTATCACGAGGAGGTTTAGGTTGTGTATCACGAGAATCCTTCATGCAGAGAGTGGCTGGGCACTGGAACAGGCTCCTCAGTGAAGTGGTCACAGCACCAGCCTGACAGAGCTCAAGAAGTGCTGGGACAGCACTCTCAGGCCCTTGGTGTGATCCTGCGCAGGGCCAGGAGTTGGACTCGATGATCCTTACTCCTTCCTGCTCAGCTCATTCTGTGATTTTAGATATGTATGTGCACCTATCTGTTCGCACACATTGTGCATGAGTGTGTGTATACGTGTATATGAAAGAACACACACGTGCATATTTACACAAACAAGATGCATTCCCTGACTTCCCATCCCATTCAGGGTGGCCACACCACTGCCTCTTGCCTCAGGGTAGGGGCTACTCTGCAGCACTCCCTGCCACAGGGGTGCCACAGCTGCCTCTTGGTGCTGGCAGCCTTGTGGTGTTGCTGCCACCACACAGGGTGTGCCCAAGCTGGATGGTGACAAGGCTGACTGCCTTGTCATGGCATGGGGTGGCTGCCAGGGCAGCTGGGATGGCTGAACCTGCTGCTGGCTGATTGTGGCCCTTCGCAGTAGTTTCTGGATGCATTGGGCACTCTCTGACAGAAAAAAGTAATCTGTGCTGCTGATAGCACCATGGCTTATTTCTAGAGGCCACTGTGTTCTACTTTAGGGAGTGTTGCCAGAAATTCTATTTTATAGGCTAGAGGTAATTCCTTCTTCAAGGATATTCAAGTATCATTTCAAGGAAAACATATTTTCTGTAAAGCCCACAATATTGTTACTTCTGAAATCCATCCTTTCTGTAACTAAACTTGTGTGTGTTGCAGTAGTTTGCAAAGTCTGAACATTGTAGTTGAGATAATTAATCAATGGAATATTTAATATTTTTAGGAAACAATGCATGTTGCAGAAAAGTCTTGTATAAACAGTTGCCGTGGATGGTACTAAATGACTAATTTAATTTTTGTAGAAGTATTTCTAGCTGCACTTTGCAACATAGATATCTTGAAGAAAGAAATTAAACAGTAAGATGTAGCTTCCTTGATCACTGCTCTTAAAGTGTTTTTTAAAATATTTTTAAGAATTTTTGTTTAATCTTGTGGAAGCCTGTCTTTTACATCTTTCTAGTGGTGCAAAGGCACCTGAGGCACAGTACTGGCAGAGGAGGATAGAAATGATAGCCTAGAAGTCTGCTGAATCATCTGAGATGAGGGAAGTAGTACTGGGAAGCCTGGCTCCTTATATTTTGGGTTCCCATATGTATAATATTGAGATTTTTACCATTTTGTCGAGCCACAGCCAGAAACTCTAGGAGAAGGAAGGTCATGGGTTTTTGATTGCTCAGTTAAAGACTTTTAATGCCTTTCTTTTTGTAGTTTCAAAATGAGAATACTTTGTAAGAAGTTTCATTATTATATTACTAAAGACAGACTCCCTTGAGGGTTTTTTATGCTTCATGTTTTTTAACATTCTATAAAACACTAATGTCAGTAGAGCATCAAATGTCATCTTCTAGAGGAGAATTGTAGCGTCATCCTGAATGACCTTGACCCATAAACTCCATCCCTGGCCCAACCAGTGGATCATGGGAAGTGACATACTGGACTTTTTCTTATCTGTAGGATGAGGACAAAAACTTGTGTCACTCAGACAGTAACTTCTGTCACTCATGAGAATCCCAGCCTGCTATTAGGTAAAACAGTTGTTTATTGCCTTACAAAGGTGCCTCATTACTGTAAACATGGCTGAGGAGAGCTAACAGTCAGTGTCTCATTAACAGAAGCAATCCCTTAGGATTAAGTCGCTTATACCATTTCAGAATTGCTATTAGCCTTCCTGCTGATAGCAGTTAGAGGGTTAATTAGGATTCTCCAATGCTGGATTCACACATCGATTGTGCTTCCCTTCAGCAAGTACTCCACATCTATGCAAGCTGCAGGTTTAACTTTATTATGCTTCAAAATAATACCATTAGTTGTATTGTCAAATAATTAGTCCTTAGGGTATTCCGCTCGGTGCTTTGCAGAACTACAATTCCACCAGCTTTCCTGGAAAGGTTTCCCTTAGGTCCTATTATTTCCAAGTTCAGTCTTCGTCAAAGTTGAAATGCCTGCTTAAATGTTTTACAGATATACATGATGTACACAAGGAAAAACAGTGAGAGGCCAAATCCTGCTACCTTTTGCACATGTTACTCACATGAGTATTACCCTCTAGCTTATGCAAATGTTGCAAAAAAAATCTTTTATGTGCATAAGTGTTAACGGGACTATGCCCATACAGTATGTATGAATTTATGTCTGAATTTATATCCCTACAGCTGTGCTTTCAACAATGTTTAATGTTTCTTCTTCACACCTATCTGATTACGCTAGAATGTTTGTTTAATCTTTCACATTTGTACATTTGTCCCTATCTTCCTTCCTATCATTCTGTTTCTTTCCCCTTTTCTGCTACTTAATTCAGTCTGTCTGTTCTTCCATTTGCTCTCAGATACTGTCTTTGTAATTTGACATAACATGTCAGATTTTCTAAGTTTTAATACCTCTGATCTCAATACCGATGTTGCTAGAACCTGAAAGCAAAATGTCATACTGGTACTGCCTCAAGTAGAACTAGACTGAAGACAAATTATTCTCCATCTAGGATTTAAGAAATCACATGAAAGTACATAAAGGAGAAAACACTTCAGTGTTCCTGTATCATTATCGAAATGTTATGTAATTGATCAGTATTAGTTTTTCAAAGACCATATTCTTTGTGCTAGATAGTGCATATTTAAAATGACATTAATAAGTCATGAATTTTAATCCAAAGGGAAGTATATTGAATAGTCTGAGCTGCTACTTCACCCACTTACATCTGTATGGAACCAAATACCTGGTTGTGGATAATATCTGTCCCCAGAAATTTGCTTGATTCTGCTGTGAAGACCTATGGAGAGTAACTGTTCAGCAATGATGGTTTTCTCTGGTAAATAATTAGTAGTTGTTCTAGGTAGCAATTTGTAATCAGGCGTCACAAAATTTGTAATCGGGTGTTGCACACCATGGATGAAGATGCACCATCACGTGGATTTTGGGAAAGAGTTTTCACTCCTATTTTAGTATGTAAATACAGTAACAGTGTGTTCAGTCATACATGTATGTCTGCTCTTTGCCTGCCCCAGTTTGATGCCTGGCATACTGGTGAGATCAGAGATACTGTAGGTAACATTTGCAGAGAACTAATTATGCATTCAACTACTACCCTCTTTCGAAGAAGCAGAGTTATGCCTGTATCACCTGCCCTGCTGAATCTTGTGCCTGGAAGGAGGATCTAAACCTTCCTGTCCACATCACCTCACCTGTCTTTGCCTGCCTTTTGTATTGCTATAGATACTGAAAATGTGCTATTACTGCTCATTCTGTTTTAATGGCTTGAGTCGAAGCTGAGAGAGCCTTGTAGCTGCCGTGAGCACTGTAGGCAGTCATAAGCATTAAGTCTGCTTGGAGCACATTTAATTAACATGAAAGTTTCAAACCCAACACAGAAAAGCACTTAAGCTGTGCACGACTTTGGGGAATCCCACTGAAAGGGATGATGCACATGATGTTGAAGCATGTGAGTTCTTTTAAGAACTTCTTATACTGAGAATTTTAAAATGTATTTCTGAGAGTTTCACAAATGAGCACCAGCATTTGAAAGGTACAGAAGCTCTGAATTGAATGCAATAAACCTTCAGGCTAAAGTAGTCTATCAGACAAATTTTCTCTAATTTAAAAAGTGGCAGTGTTTAATTTATGGGGAAAACACATGAAATTAGTATGAGCTGTTAAGAATAAGTAGCTTTCATAGGACTCAAGCAAGAAGTATTTCAGCTCTAGAAGAAAATCTGAATATATGAGATTACTTAGGAAATCAATGTGCAGTTTTATCACATTTATCACAGATGAACGCTTTGAATATTTTTATATCCTGTTGTTGATATTGCTGTAAGAAATTACATTAGGAGGAAAGTTTATAGTCTTTATTAGACTGTAATGCAGTTTAACATGCACCCTGACATCAATCTGATTTATGTTTTAATATTTGTATTTATTTGAGAATGAAACAAAAAGTAATCAATGTCAATCTCCCATGACAAACACAGGTTGTAGATCTGAACCTGTTGGCTATACTCCCACAGTAGAAATTGATCTCAAATGGATGTAGAATAGGTACTTGCAGATTAACAGGTTTCTTGTTTCCATGGTGCATAAAATGGCAGAATTTTTTCAGTTTGGCTCTACTTCTAGCTGATGTAGTGCATAAAAAATTGGGTGGTGTGCAAAGAAAGGCTTTAAACTTTTTTTTGTCTTTTCAACAATGCCAACCAGTGAGCTCAAGAACTCCCACAAATTACCTTTCCAACAGCAGTTAGCATGTTATTAAGAATTTCCAT